GGAGTCCATTGCAGACTTCTTTCATACGTTTCCACCAGGTTCCAATCGACCTTCCGCCAATCAGTTGGGCAAGAAACACTTCCATAGCCTATATATCTCACGGCATTCGCAACACCTGCACAAACATGGTAGAACACATTATCGAGTCAGAAGCAGCAGCGGCTGTAAACAAAGACTCTCACGTATCTCTGGACTCTCCATTCTGCCGAGACGGGTAACGCCAGCGACTCCTATCAGAAAGCGCACTTCAGAATCGTGTACATCGGTTCGAAGGTCTTCAATCATGGTCCACGGCTCATGGCAGCAGGTAAGCATGGCTATAAAAATCAACTTGAACATCTAGATCTTAGCTTTCAGACTCAGCTCCGTTTTTATCACAACGGTTCTTTCTGTTTCACACAGAACGCCAATGGTTACTTCAACTCACTGGTCGATATCATCCTCAAATTTTAAATCACTAGTAAATACAAATCAGGGAAACTACAACCTCTCCACCTGCTCTTCTATCTCTCCGTTCATCTCTAGATAGGAACAGGAAGGAGAACGAGAAAGAATTAGGCTTTCCGTTTTAGATGCGGTCACACGCATACATCACGCTAGGCAGCAAACCTTTCAGGAAGCACCGTAGATCAGTGTCAGAAGATGTGAAAAGAACAAGGTCGTCTACAAATAACAACTTTCTCGTCTCCACATCCCTAAAACCGACACACTCATTGCCTTGGCGGCTCGTGACTATTCTCTCCGTCTACATCACAAACAGGAGAAGGGACAGACGTAACATTGGTGGAGACAAGTGCCAAAGCAGGAAAGTTTGTGCAAGCACTCTTTACTCTGACGGGGCTACTGCTGTCATAATACAGTGATTCGATGGCCCATTGCAACTAGCCATCGATCCAATATGTTCCCAGACACGAGCACAGAGCATCGCGCGGGATCCAGTCAGGGCCTCTTTCCAGTATAAGAAAGCACATATGCTTCGGAAGGGCGAACTCAAACAATTTTTCTACAATCTGGAGCATGGCAAAGATCTGGCAAATATCCGCGCATCGCCCGGACAGGAAACCACACTGCTCTTTCAGTGTCTTGGAGTCAGCTATTAGGCGTCAGCTTTTTTCTAGCACCGTTGCATACAACTTGTCTAGGAGGCATAATAACGAAAAGCCTTGATAATTGGAGTAATCCCTCTGATCTCCATTATTGAACAGAGGCACAAAAACACCGTTCTTCAATCCGCTGATGTCTTCCCCGAGTCATCACAGTTCCACAGACATGTGTAAACCAGCAAAATACTTACTCGCATAATGCTCAGAGCACTTCAGGGTGGATTTCATCAATTACAGCAGCTTGTCCACATTTCAAGCTTTACACAGCTTGTGTAATTTCTTCTACAGAAATAGAAATATCCGCTCCATGCTACTCTTCAAGCGAGTCTTCCTGCGGTTGTTCGCGGTTATGGAGTTCCTCAAACTATTCTTTCCATTGCCGAAGGATGTTCTTCACTTAAGTCAGAGTGCGTCCATATTTGCCCTTTAAGGATCTTAAATTGCCCTTCTTTCCATCTCAGAGCCGATAAATGGTCTGTCAGAATGCCTTGTTTAGTAATTCAAATCAAGCATCTCATCGAACTTCTGCTTGGAATTAGCTACGGCGCTGCAACTCATTTCATAGCCGCCTTGTGGGCCTCGCGAGTAGAAGGCTCCTTGTTTTCAAACCATTTTTGAGCGCTGCCTTCTTTTCCTTAAGTACTAGTTGCACCTGTCGTGTCCACCAAGAGATTTATTCTGACCTTAAGGCGATAAGCCAACCCGCTTAAATCTGCAGAATTCGACCGCAGCCTCGAGTATGTCGATCTTATAGAGCTGTCACTCGGTTTACACATTAGTTGTCGTCACGGGGCTCTGTTCAAACCGTCGTGCGATGTTGTTTACAAATTTCGCTCTTGTGTCCACCTAAGATAATATTTCTCGTTTGATTCTCTGATTGCTGTGCTAGCAGATCTTCGTATGATACCTCATTTCTTACATCGCAGCGTGCCAACAACAAGTTAGCTGTGCACCTCTCATAACGCGAACATTCATCACTGAGCGTCTTTAGTCAGACAATACAATTATCAAATCGAGCATCGACTTCTGTGCAAACGCTTCCCAGTACCAGGTGTAACGATGCACTTTTCGATGCTCAAAGAAGGTGTTCATAACGGACAATCCTTTGTTTGCACAAAACCGCAACGACGTCATGCCGCTTTTGCTGAGGTCGCTAGAGCCGTTCTTTCTAATCAGGCCTTTCAACTTTTTAGCGTTTTTTCCATTAAAGTCACCGATGAGTATGAAGTACTCCGTATTCGGCACTTCCTACAGAGAACACTGCACTTCTTCAAAGAAGAAATCGTATTCTCCGTTTTAATTTGGCGCATAGACCTGTACCAAGGCCAACGTTTTAGCCTGTTGTAGTATTAGTCGGAGGATTACCAACCTTCCGTTGAAAGTCTTCCGATCAATATTTCTATTCGCGAGGTTGGGTTCTACCGGAGAACCAACACCGGCCTGATCGTGAGTCGAGACATCGACATCTGAGTAGAATAGCGTTCATCCGTTGAAGTTCAGGAGTCTAGTGCCTTGGCGTTTCGTCGACGCGAGTCCAACGATGTCGAGTTGGTACTTTATGGCAACATCAGTTAGCTGTTGCTGCTTCCTTCTGAGTGAGGAAATGTTCCAATTCCCGACTTTAAGCTCCTACTGGTGGTGTCATTCTCGTGGAGCCTTTTCTGACGTGCTATAATGGCATCGCGCTGTCTGCCTCCTCCATTCAGAACGGGTAGCGACTCCTTTGCTGACTGGTATCTTTGTTGTCGTTCCTTGGATGTTCGTGCCGTTGTTGTGCTGCTACGCCGCCGGCTGGCAGAGGGCGCTGAGCAGGTTCTTATCGTCGACTTTTCACAATTTGCCTCGGTCCCCCAACAGCCTTTACGGCCCTTTGTTGCCCGCGCGACGACCGAGCCGGTATAATTATCAATGGTGTCAGTACCATGAGTGGCAAACGATGAACTTTTACGGAGACTTCGACACAACCTCCAACCCTTCTCCTTTCTCAGCCGGGCTTGGAACAGGAAACTGCGGAGTTACTTCAACTCTTCATCTTCATTTTCATCTTCCGTCGCCGCTTCTCCTTTCAGGTTGCGGAGGCAAACACGTCGGACAGAGCTTCCAACGTCCCCGATCCTGTGCCAGAGTCTGAGCTTCGGCAAAAGACAAATGGAGTCTAGAACAGACTCCTTCCATATGTTTGCACCAGGTTAACCTTGGCCGTCCCCTGGGCCTTTTGCCGGTTGCATTTGCAAGGAACAGTTGCTTAGCCTTCCTTTCTGGAGGCATTCGCAACACACGCCCAAGACATCGCAGCTGTGACTTCTCAATCTGGTGAAGCAAAGGCTGTATTCCAAAGCTCTTCTACTGGATAGTAAATACAGTTCCGAAGTACTTGAACTTTTCTACCTTTTCGTTTTAGAGGCGTTCACACGCATGCCTGTTACGTCGCACTCGGCTGCCAACCTTTCTAGGGAGCACTGGAGATCAGTTTCAGAAGATGCTAATAAAACAAGGTCGTCTGCAAACAGACACCATCTCGACTT